TACTGCTCTTGTTGCCCAGGCTGGAGTACAATGGAGTGATCTTGGCTCACTGCAACCTCTGCCTCCCGGGCTCAAGTGATTCTCCTGCCTCAGCCTCCTGAGTAGCTAGGATTATAGGCATGTGCCAACAAAGCCTGGCTAATTTTGTGTTTTTAGTAGAGACGGGGTTTCTTCATGTTGGTCAGGCTGGTCTAAAACTCCCGACCTCAGGTTATCCTCCCACTTTGGATTATAGGCACGAGCCCAGACTCTGTGTTGGTTCTTGAGAGAGATTTATTTTGCAGAATTTCAGGCAGGGACAAACTTACATACAGCAGGTTGCCAATAGCCAACAGTCACGGCAGTTGTGCGTTTAAATTAAATTTATTGTTGCATCTCACACCGGGTTCTAACTGAAGGAAGGGACTGGTAGAGGGAGATGATAAGAGATACCTGGTAACAGTACAGAGATTAAGCCCACACATGCTGGACTCATGATCCTCAAAGAGGAATCTGAAAGCCCTGACTGTCTGGTCCCCTGTGCCACAATACTCACTGGCTCCTGCCAAGAACCAAGAATAGCAGTCTTCACGGCTGCTGCATCAAAAGCAGGATTGTTTTTCCCACTGATTTCAGTGATGTTTTTTCTTGAGTTGAGAAACAGTGGTGGATGGGGGGAAGGGATACTCTGCAGGATCACTTTCTGGCCAAAAAAATCCTTAGGATTTAAAACATTAAACAACCGAGTTCTCTGGACTATCTGAATATACAAAATTCTATTTTAAGAAGTCCTTTTTTGGGAAAAATTTTTATCAACCCTCAAAACATTAAGAAATTGTAATAAAGACGCCTGTAATCCCAACACTTTGGGAGGCCGACGTGGGTGGATCACGTGAGGTCGGGAGTTTGGGACAAGCCTGACCAATGTGGAGAAACCCCATCTTTAAATAAATAAATGAATAAATAAATAAATAAACAAACAAACTGAAATTGTAATAAAGATATGGTAGTTCAGGCGCTGCATTAAAGACAAGATCTCTTTTTTGATCTAATCATAGGACTGCATGCAATCAACTCCCTTGGAACGCAAGCAATTTACTTAGCGCTCTCTGATTTTTCCCTTTTCATAGATGGAAAATTTATTCAGGGGATATGTAAGTCAAGCTACATTGGTGCTATGGGTTTTATGTTTATCAAACATTCACAATGCACCCAAGAGTACAGGGCTAAATAATTCTGTTCATCTGGGGTAATGCCTCGAGGACTTTGTCAAGAAGGAAAAAAAAAATCCTGTGCGTATACCCAGTATAAGTAGGCATTGTGAAGACTTGTTTTGTAGACATTTTCAAATGCAAGTATACCGTGTTGCATGCACAGATCAGCCTGAATAACTAGGTGCAGACTCAACTTTTGAAAATGGCTTCATACTTTATGCACTAGGGAAACTGGTTACTGGCACATCCTTTTATATTACACACGATCATATCCTTACGTATCTTTAAATTCAAACTTTAGCTCACTGGGTATGTTTTTTTTAAAAAAAAAAAACAAACAGAACAGTATTCTTTCATGCTCCATATTAAAAAATCTTTACAGTAACTCAGAACAGGTTCCTGTGCTTCAAATAAGTCATGACTTCAAGTAGCTCACGCTCCCTGTTGTTTTTATTCCTGCAGACCACACACTTGCTGGGATGAAATATGGAGGGGAGGCAACTCTATTGCACTCCTCCCAGTAATAAAAACAGACATGATGAAGTGATATGGGCCTTAACCCCAGTGCCTGCATCCCCCATCTGTGCTGTACTGGGGGCCTGATCTGTGTTGGGCCTGCCAGATACATTGAATACATGAATCAGGAGAGGGTCCTTTATTATTCTTTTCTATCTTACTTGGTGGCACCCAGCCCAGTTCTGCACCAGTGAGGCTGGTGACCAGACAGCTCTCCGCAATTATAAACGCAACAGAAGCTTAAAGTAGTGAGCAGGCTTTCTGCATCAAGGTACAGAACCATAAAGAAGTAGAAGGGCACAGGATTTGGAGTCTACACTGAAAGGGTTTGAACATCAACTGCATCACTTGCTGGCTGTGGATCTGGGCAAGCTATTTAACCACCCCAAGCCTCATCTGGAAAATGGTAATAAAAACAGCTATCTCCTAGGCTGTTGTGAGGGTTAAATGAGATACATAACCTATAAGGTAAATTTACAAAAAGTTGATTTACTGGGTACTCAATGCCAGCAATTATTACCATTATTGTTGTTTCTACTAATTATTATTAAACCCTTCTCTGGGAGGAGATAACAGTTTGCTCAACAGGTTTAAGCCTTCTGATTTTCAAATTATCTATGCATATCCTCCTTCTATCACTGTCCCAGATTAAATCAGAAAATGATTTAACGATTCTCGTGCCTTAGCCTCCTGAGTAGCTGGGACAACAGGTGCATGCCACCTCACCCTGCTAATTTTTTTTTTTTTTTTTGGTATTTTTAGTAGAGACAGGTTTTGCTTTTTTGGCCAGGCTGGTCATGAACTCCTGGTCTCAAGTGATCTGGCTGCCTTGGCCTCCAAAGTGCTGGGATTATAGATGTGAGCCATCATGCCTGGCCCGCATTCAATAAACATTTGCTGAGTGAGGATCCCACTGGTGAGCAGGAGGTTTGACAAGGCAACCTATTGTAACTGGGGACCAAAGGGAGCTAGATCTTAAATGAATGTCTACTTCACAAATGAGCTTTGGGGCTAGGCTAAAAGGCAACTCATTATTTTGTAACTAAACAAAATTTAAAAACTACACAAAGATCTTGTTCTTTATAGTCAGCAAGTGTAACACCAGATTAGAGTCACCTATATAAAATTAAGAATTTTACTGCCTAAGGGGCCTTACAGTGTAAACACTGCATTTTACAGTTTAGGAAACTGAGGCAGAGAGAAGAGAAGTGACTTGCAAAATCAAAACATGGATGATGGCAGTGCCAGGCCTGCAACCCAAGATTCCTGAGTACTAAGTACACAGGGATCCTTCCATTCACCCACTGACCCAATCAGCCATTACGGGGGAAATAACAAGAAAAGAGAGAAAGAAACAGACAAACTTACAGCTTCTTCCAAGTGCTGCTGATCTGGATTATCATTTGGTGTGTGCCTCAAGATTTCTCGAAGAAGTAGAGGGTATTTTACCAGACGGCTTCTTGGAATATCAAGGAAATTCCAGAGATCTAGTTTGCGGCTAAAGGGGGATTCTAAACATCGCTGTAGGAAATCCTGGACTCGGTGATCTTGCTTTTTGTGGTCCAGCAGAGCTTTGGCAGCTACTTGATTGCTACAGTAACTGTCATAGGAGCTGAGGCAAGGCAGCTAAGAAAGAAATAGAAAGAGAAGATGGAATGTCAAAATAATGTGAGCTCTGAGGCTATAGGTGGCCTCACTTATTGGGACTGAGCAAACACCTAACCGGTCTCTGGGTCTGGCCAACATCCTTTTTTTTTTTTTTTTCCTGAGATGCAAGAGCAACAAGAGTAACAAGTCTTGCTCTTGTTGCCCAGGCTGGAGTGCAATGGCACAATCTCGGCTTACTGCAACCTCCACCTCCCGGGTTCAAGTGATTCTCCTGCCTCAGCCTCCTGGGTAGCTGGGATTATAGGTGCCTGCCACCATGACTATAATCCCATATATATATAATTTTATATTTTTAGTAGAGATGGGGTTTCTCCATGTTGGTCTCGAACTCCCAACCTCAGGTGATCCGCCCTCCTTGGCCTCCCAAAGTGCTGGTATTCTGAATAGCTGGTGGAAAGTAGCGGAATCTTCAACATAGCAGGCAGTGGACCATTTTCTTAGGCTCTGGCTTGCTTTCACAAAGTAATTTTCTTAATTGCATGTTTACTTTCTTGATTAAGACTCTTATAGTTTGTTTGCATTTTCTGCCAATCTAAGTGATATGGTTTAGATCTGTGTCCCCGCCCAAATCTCATGTTGAACTGTAATCCCCAGTGTTGGAGGAGGGGCCCCCTGGGAGGTGATTGGATCATGGGGTGGATTTCCCCTTTGCTGTTCCTGTGATAGTGAGTGAGATCTCAGGAGATACGGTTGCTTACAAGTGTGTAGCACTTGCCCCCCTGCTCTCCTCCTCCTGTTCTGGCCATGTAAGATGTGCCTGCTTCTGCTTCTGTCGTGATTGAAAGTTTCCTAAGGACCCCTCAGCCATGCTTCCTGTACAGTTTGCAGAATCATGAGGCAGTTAAACCTCTTTTCTTTATAAATTACTCAGTTTCAGGTATTTCTTTATAGCAGTGTAAGAACAGACTAATACACTAAACCAGAAACAACAGAAGTGAAATTACTGCCTATACATACAGTTCAGAATTTTCTAAACTTCCAAAGATATCTAGTCAGGTGAAACCCTCCTATTTTATTTACAAAAAAAAAAAAAAAAAAAAAAAAAAAGATTTCCTTTAAGATTATTAATAAGAAACTCAAGGCCGGGCGCGGTGGCTCATGCCTGTAATCCCAGCACTTTGGGAGGCGTAGGCGGGTGGATCATGAGGTCAAGAGATCAACACCATCCTGGCCAACATGGTGAAACCCCATCTCTACTAAAAAATACAAAAATTAGCTGGGTGTGGTGCTGCGCACCTGTAGTCCCAGCTACCCGGGAGACTGAGGCAGGAGCGTTGCTTGAACCCAGGAGGCGGAGGTTGCAGTGAGCTGAAATCGTGTCATTGCACTCCAGCTGGCGCCTGATAACAGAGTGAGACTCTGTCTCAAAAAAAA